CCTATTTCCTTCTCCCACTTTATCACCTCATTGCATCTCTCTATCCAAATTTTTTCTCTGGTTACTGATATTATTTTCGGACTAACCTTCTAGCTATTTTCTTACTGTTATGACTGTTTATGTTCAATCCTTCAATGGCTTTACTCAGGCTTCTTGGGACCAACCCCTTGAGTATGTGTTTCAATTTTATTTCTTTTTTGTCAGGTTTAAGATCATTTTTCCCATTGAAGTAGGAAAACTCGAATTTTTGAAAAAATTGAGCCCGGATTTACTATTAAATTAACACGTGATTCCACCTACCCTTATATATAAATGATTTGCAATAAGTTACACGTGACAAAAATCGGTCCAATGATTCTAACATTCATCATTTCTATTTAAAAGAGAGGACTTGAAATTTTTTTTCTTGAAGGAAGGTCCAGATTAATTTTAAGGAATCTTAAATTAGAACAAGAGACTATACCGCAAAGAGTTCCTGGAATAAAGGAAGACCTAGATAGAGAATTGTTTAATGAATTTGTACTTAAAATTAATTCTAAAATGAACAATAACTTCGAAAGTAAAACATAAATGCATATTCATGGAAATTATTATCATACTTTAGCATGCCCTTTAGCATAAATTATTATTATTATCATCATTCAAGACTCGGCAAAAACATTTTTTTATTTTTTCAAATTTTTTCAACAAGACTTCAAAAATCAACACATCATAAAGAGAAAAAAATTTTTTTTAAATAATTAAAGGCAATAAAAGATAGATAATGTGTTCTCTGAGATTTATTTTATTTGTATACACAAAAAAATTTTATCTTACAAGACAAAAGTATAGGTTACTTACTGATTAGTGTTTTTTTTCGTCAATTTTCCCCCGCCGATCACTATATAGTACTCACCTGATTTATAAACGGATCGTCAATGAACTACATCTCATTGGACTAATACTAAGCTCATTGAGAGAATTCGAATAGTAGCTGTTTTATTCAAAACAGCTGATATTGACCGATTTATGAGATTTTGAAGCTTTTGGTTAATTTCTGTATGTTCAGCCTGTAATTTCAACCATTTCGACTTTAATTCGACTTCTGACCCCCCAGGTCGAAAATTTTCGACTTCATGCATTAGTATTATAGTCAACATCCCAAGAATACCAAGTAGACAAGCAAACTAGAAAAGGTAAATCTGGTAAATCCATCACTAATACTAAATTAGTTGATAAGGAATTAACTCACATGATAAAGATTCTTGATCTTTATTGGTCAGTGCCAACTGGTACTGGTCCTGAACCGTTTTTCCATCCCTAATACTAATTGCAGCACGTCCCCATACACGACAGATGATGGATAATGTAATGTTTGGTCAGCCTTTGATAATCTCATGATCATGTTTTACAAACGCCCCAAAAAACTTGTTATTATTAATTATTATATATCTCCTTCTCTTTATGATGTCATATCAAAAAAATTTATATATAAATATCTATTAAATATAAATTGAATTCTGTTTTGTATATTATTACTTTATTTAATTAATTTTTTTTTTGCATTCAAACAATGCTTGAATCGTTAGTTGCTAATGTTTTGAATCGCGTTCTTGGTGCATATGTTTCTAATCTCGAAGATAATCAACTAAACATTGCAATATGGACAGGTTTTTTTTTGTTGATGTTGTTAAGTCTCTTTTTTCCTCTAAAATTTGTTCAATTTCTCACAATAGTGTATTCATACATACATACATACATGCATATATATAAATTGTGCTAATAAAAGGGGATGTCGTGTTAAGAAACCTACAACTCAAAAAAGAAGCACTTGATAAATTTGATTTACCTATTGAAATTTTAGAAGGCATTTATTAAACTATTTTTGATTATAGAGTCATCATAGATAAGACTAATGTAACTTATATATAATTATATAATTTTTTTTCTTCAGGATATCTTGGGGAATTAACCTTGAATATTCCTTGGTCAAATTTAAAAAATAAGCCAGTTAAAGTTTTTATAAATAATGTTTATCTTTTAGCTAATCCAAAAGCTGATACAGAGGTAGCAATCTTTAAATTGTGTGTTTTTGAAGTTTCAAATTTGTTTAATTAAAAAAAAATTTATTGGTTTATTAGTATGATCCTGAAGAAGAACAAAAAAAAGCTCAACAAGTCAAACAAGAAAAATTAGCAAATGCTGAATTACTTCAGTCTAATCCATCTGGAACATCTGAAGGTTTATTATTATTATTATATTATTAGATTATTAAAGTTTTATTATTAATTTTTTTATTATTAATTTTTTTAAAAGAGGATGATCAAAAAAACCAATCTTTTGTAAATCAACTTGTTACCAAGATTGTAGACAATCTACAAATTTCTATTAATAATATTCATATTAGATATGAAGATAAATTAAGTGATCCTGAGGTTTGTTTGCATTGAATTTTTAATACTAATTTCTTAAAAATTGTTTATTAGAAAAATACTTAATTCTTAAATAATTTTGCAGCATCCATTTTCAATAGGACTTACATTGTCCGAATTTTCAGCTCTTTCAACAGATGAAAATTGGACACCTACTTTTATTGAAGATGAAACTAAACCAATTCATAAAGTAATTGTTTTGAGAGAATAATTTATATATATAATACATACATATTTTTTATTAATTAAAAATTCCTTTAAAAGTTAATTACATTAGGATCGTTAGCTGCATATTGGAACACAGATTCAAGATCTTTATCTGGTTACTCTCAGAAGGATTCTATTGAATTATTCATAAATTTGGTATTGTTACTTTTTAAAAGAAATTTTTATATTATATTATCATGTAATTTCTAATACTTGTAATTAACTTTATATTATAAGATTTCATCAGACAAGAGAGTTCCACAAGAACACCAATATATTTTAAAACCTGTATCAGGAACTGGAAGAGTAAGTTTTTCTCACCCTCAAAAAACTAAAACGCCCTTTAATAATTAATTATTCAATTAAACCTTAAAACTATAAAATTATGCGTAGGTTATATTGAACAAACATTTTGATGTTAAGACTCCTAAAACTATTGTAACGTTATTATTTGATGAACTTGGATTTGTCTTGGATGATGAACAATACAGGGACGCCTTATTAATGGTTGACTTATTTCATTTTTATCTTAGACAACAAAAGGTATAATATAAAAAATATAATTTATTTTATATTTATCTACATGATAAATTTTCTAATCAAAGTAATAAATAATTTTATCATAGTATCGAAAATTCAGACCTCCAAAAGAAGTGACACCAAAACAAAATCCAAGAGCATGGCTTCAATTTGCAGGAAATTGTATACTTTCTGAGATTCGTGAACGTAATCGAAAATTGACTTGGGAATATTTTGCTGAAAGACGTGATGACCGTTGTGCATATGTTAAACTTTATAAAGATAAACGACTTGATCATTTAACGCCTGCGGTAACTGCCTTTTAATATTTAAGAATTTTATTGGTTGATTTATTCAAAGTGTGTAATTTATTATTTTATATTTACTTTGTTTAGGATGCTGAAAAATTGAAGCAACTTGAAATAAAGCTTAGTTATGAAGACATAAGGTTTTATCGATCAATTGCCAAATCTCAATTGAAAAAAGAAAGGGCATTAATAGGTTTTGTGTCAAATACTCTACTTGGGATATAACTTTAATTGTTATATTAGACAATCATATTTTACAACTTTATTGTAAAATTTTTTTTAAAAATGTAAAATGTAGATAAAATTAAAAAAGAAAGACAAGAAAAACAAACCGTGAGTCAACCATCAGACGGTGGCTGGTTTAGTAGCTGGTGGTATGGTGGTCAAGAAACAAGTGTATGGATTTATTATGTTATTTGATTTGGAATAAAAAAAATTATTCTCTTCTTTTTTTTCTAATATGCTATCATTAAATTTTGTTATAGCCATCAAATGAAGGAGACATTGTATTGACAGATGAACAACGTCAAGAATTATATCAAGCAATTGATTATGATGAGAAAGCCGCTGTGATAGAGTCAGTTGATTTTCCTAAAGAGGTTAATTTTAGATCTAGTTTGGATTTATTATTAGTGTTTTTTTTTAATTAATTAGAAGGAAATTAATCAATTTTCTTTATTTACTTAGTGGATAAAACTTTCATTTAAAACTAAACTCAAAACTGGCTCTTTTGCTTTGAAAAAAAATCCTCGTGGGTCAAACGTTGAAATACTTTCTTTGTTTTTTGATACAGTGTCTACAAACTTTTATCATATAGGCCTTTCATCTGAGCAAACTTGCTACCAAAATCAAGTAAAAGTAGAATCGGTTTTTCGAGGAAAGTTACTCTTGCAGATCCTGCACGTAAATAAATAGATGAATTGTATCCAGGAAAACTAGGAGCATTCTCATCAAAGGTTTCATATCTAAAATCAGCTAAATTTTCCCCTTGTATTGTGAGCAATTGTCTTAACGATTCAGGTGTATCTTTAGTTGCCATATCGTCAGTTAGTGAAAAATTACCCAAACGTGCCCCAACACGTAAAGTATTTTGTCTTAATAAAACAGCTACATCAGCACGAGATAAAAGTCCTGTTGCAAGCCTAACACCGTCATTGTTCAAAATAAATCTTATACTGTTCAAACGGGCTTTAACACGTATTTTAGAAGATTGTTGTTGTGGGGAGGGAGATTCTGGCGTTTCTAATGATATGCCTGGTGTATTAATGGCCACATGAGGTTGTAAGACAACGCTTACAGGTGTTGTTGTCGTTGTTGCTGGAGACACTGTAGAAGTGTCTAATATGAAATTATAAAGTGTTAATATGCTTTTCCGAGTTATGATAACATTTATAGTAGACATCTCTATATCGACGCTTTGGTCAATTCCTTCAAATCTCGACATATACTCTGGTGACTCTGGTTTAACTTTAGTGTATTTCACATGAACAAGATCTTTTGAATCTTCAGCTTGAGCATTTCCGTATCCTTCAGAAGCAGCCAAATGTTTAAATTCAGAAGTTATATCAGAAATTTTATCTTCGATACTAAGAGATTTAAGAACTACAACAGCAGACATATCAAAAGGTCGAAGAGTGTAGTTTAAACCAAAATGTTCTAAAGCCATGTCAACTAAAATTATTTCAGGTTTCTGAGGATCAGGATCTGCTTTTTTCAAATTCGCTGTAAATTTGTCAACTTTAAAGTTGAATTCAAAAATTATTTGATTGATTTTTGCATTGGGTACCTAAATTAATAATATATAAATGATTAGTATACAAAGCATTAAATTTGTTTTAATTCATATATAGATAAATATATATAAAATATATATGTATGTATACATTTGTATCTTGAGCATCAAAAAACTCTTCGCCATTTTCATCCTGAGCATCATCATTTTCATCTTCTTCACTTTCACTATCAACCAATACAACACCATCATCTACTTTACTCAACCCGAACTTTCCTGCCATAGATTCCCTATGCTTTAGACGCTCCCATTTCAAAGCCTTTTCTCTTATAAAATTAAGATCTCGGGAAGGTTTTGGTGATAATGGTTTTTTATCAAAATTTGAAAAATTACTTTCACCTTTATTCGGAGTTGATGGTTCATTTGGTGGAACAATTGTATCAATAATATTCATAATTATTTTATATTTTCTATCAGAGAAATTAGCTTTAAGTAATGGTAAATGCCCTGATATTCTAAATTTAGTTAAATTAGAAGCCCTTCGTACTATTGACATTTCAACAAAAAATGTCATATTTATCCTTTCAATAACATGAAAATCGAAATTTGAATTTGGGTCACGTATTTGATTCAAGCAACGATCAACAGATTGACCAACAAGTAGCTGATTAAAACATCAATTAATTATTAATGATGATAATAATAACCAATTAGAACTTGATTGATTCTGTTATTCAAATATATTTATACAAGAAAAAAATCTTAAATACCTGAGTAGAAGAAAGATTTACTGTAAATTTATCGTACATCAAAGATTCTAATTGCTTATAATCATCTTCGTTATATTTTTTAGTTTCTTTTGCTTGAACCTCGGCTATAGTGTCTTTATCAACAAGATTACTGACTACACTAATATGACCTGAATCTAGAACAACTACTTGTGCATCCTTTTTTGTACAACTTTCAGGTATAACAATAATTGGCGCTTTCATATCGATCTTCACATCGATTGTTTTGTGTTCCTCTAATGCATATTCCAATCCAGCTCTTGTTTGTGCTTTGATCCCTTCCAAAGTATCACCAGCAGCTTCCTATTAGATTCATTTTGATGTTTATTTTAACAATAAACACTTATTTATATAATGATAAATGCTCATCTATATAATGAATGGTAAAAGAGGAGAAACTTACGATTAACGCAGCGATTGATTCTAATTGTTGTTCAGGTGGTTTAAAGAAATCTATGACTG